AAGAAGAGCGTAGGTGTCCTCGGCGGGCGGGTTGGGGGAGCCGGTGGCTGATGGTGGGCAACAGTGCAGGGGGCGGGAAGTGTGGTGCTCCCGCACCGACAGGCAGGGTCTGGTCAGGCCTGCTGCAGCCGCGGCGGAGCTGCCTCGACAAGGTCGTACCTGCCCTGGCCTCATTCCCCAACAAAGAACGGGCTACTAGTAGAAGGCGCTTGTGGGATTGTGAGGTAAAATGAGATTGACATTAAGTGCTTCAAAGGGTACTGGCACATGTGCTCGGCAAACATGCCATGGGCTTTGTTTTTTTGTTGTTTTTAAGAGACGGATCTCGCTCTGTCGGCCCAGGCTGGAGGCAGTGATTGTATTCATAAGCTCAGCAAACCTCCACCTCCTGGCCAAGCGACCCTCCTTGCCTCGCTCAAGCAGTGGGACTACAGGCATGCGCCACCACGCCTGGCTAATTTTTCATTTTTGTAGAGATTTGGGGTTCCATTATGTTGCCCGGCTGGCTTGAAACTCCTGGCCCTCAAGGCAATCTCCGCCTCGGCCTCCCAAACGTGCTGGGATGGACGGCGTGGCCACCGACGCTGCCGGAGCTTTGTCTTTTACACGGTTCTTACCATTCTGGCTGCTGCTGTGCGACTGAGGGCCTGGGGATGGCAGCGGTGCCCTGAGCTTCCCGTGGGTCTGAGCGAGCAGGGATCTCCAGTGCAGTTGCGTCTGTTGAGTGCTCGCTGCCGTGGCCCAGACCTGTGCCCTGTTTTAAGGCACTTTGTCATCCCTCACCCTCTCCAGCGAGATTTCTAGAAGTCCGTTGTAGACAAAACACAAAGTTAAACATACCTGGAGGCCACGAGTATTCTGTGACGACCTCTTGACCCTGGGAAGCACCCGCACCATACAGGCTACCTCACTCTCGGGGTCTCTCTCGGGGCGGCTCTCTGAGTGCCAGTCTGATTGCTGGGGTGCCAGGGGCTGTCAGGGGATACTAGCCTCTGAGATGTGGGTGGCGTCACAGTTAACCCAGCCCTCATTATTAAATCATAGTTCACCAGGCTTAGAAATGCACAGCAGGTCTTGTTTAAGCCTTTCAACAACTCTGCCAGCAGGGCCTTTAGCTCCCGGTCAGACACCCCTCTGAGCTTCAGCATCCCTCCATGGCTTGCCCAAGGTCCTGTCTGCTGTAAGGACTAGGCTTGAGCTGGGCTGTCTGAGGCGTGCAAGGTGAGCGTCCTCCGAGATGGAGGTGGTCCCCTGCCAGCAGGGACAGCTTGCTGGAGGAGACAGTGTCTGAGTCTCGGGGGTAGGCTTTGAGGCTTTGTGGTGGTGTGTGATTGCCCTAGTCCAGGATCCAGATTCGGATGTTTCTTTGTGACAAATACGAGTTTGTGTGGGGAGCCGCGCTTGGCCAGCGAGTGTTCCTAAGCCCTGCCTGGCGCCAGGCCCAGACACACGGCCCAAGGGACAGTAGCAGACAAGTCACAGCTGAGGCCTGGCTGGTTCAGGCCCTGGGTGCTGGGGACCTCTGGCACCTCGTGAGCAGCACCTGGGCGAGGGGGACCCTGGACGTGGAAATGGGGAGCCTTACAGTTGGGCTCTTCCCCCATAGTGTTCTCTGGAGCCACCTCAGGCACTGACAGGGTTTGAGGCTCAGGGTGGGTGGTGGGCCGGTGCAGCTCAGGTACAGACCTGTCCCAAATCGTTCCACAGAGGACTTGAGCTCAGAGGAAACCAATTTCTGGTCCTGGTGTTTCCCGAGAAGTAAATGCCGGTTGAAAATGAGAGCCCCAGGCCCGCCCTGCCACCACCCTTCCTCTGAGACATCCCTCTCTGCTGGTCCTCCGGGCCGTCTGCTGGTCTGACGGGTGAAATAAGGACAAGACTCGAGCACGTGGCGTTCTCCAAGCCTACCCGCCCTCCCCCCCACCTCCCACCGCCTCCCCCCGGGCGAGTAGTGTTACTGCCGGTGTCCTGTTCCCCTCCAGGAACTGGGTGGCAGTGCACACCCATAGGTGCCGTGAGGATGACACGCAGAGACCAAAGTGCCCGGAATTGGCCACATCCACTGGGGTAGTCCATCGGCTCATGCATGTGCTCACTGCACCCCAATCTCCTCCTCTAAGTGGGCGCTGTGCCTCGGGGTGTAGCGGATGGAGTGAGAACAGCCCTCGAGCTCCTGGCCCTCGGCAGGTGTGGTCCGCTCTGTGACTCTGAGGGGGACGGATAACAAGCAGAGGCTCGCTCCTGCCCTGTGGTAAAGTCTCAGGCTGTGTGTGTGCACCCAAGCTGGCTATTAGGATGGTTTGCTTCTCCCCTAAGCAGAGAGTCTCCCTGTGTTTTAGGGCCCGCCTGCAGCTCTCAAACAAAACTTGGGGTAGGGGAAGAAATTGTGCAGAGGGCCTGGTGTCCTGAGGAAGACTCTGTAACTGAGGCTGGTAGCACCAGGGACTTCCATTTCAGCCCTTGGGAGGGGAAGGTGGCAGTCCCAGGGCCTAATCAGGCTCTGGGTTGGGGCTTCCCCCGAGAGGCAGGCCATCTCCCTGTGAGGCTCAAGGCGAGGGTGCAGGACGGCTATCTAAGCTGGCAGAGGGCTCTGTGGGGTGCAGGCTGGTCTCAGAATGCCTGGTGATGGTGGGACTCTAAGTCTCCGTTGCCAGGGTGGGGTAAGAGGACAACTTTTTGCAGGGTTTTGGCTCACTTAACCAGGAGACCAGGGCTCAGGGCTGTGGCCAGGGGCAGGGTTCCATCTCTCCCTCTGTCTCCCCAGCTCTGCCCCTTCTGCTGCGGCCTCCCCCCTTTGTCCTGCAGCCCATGCCGGCAGGAAACCCTCTCCCAGCGTCACAGGATGGGTCTGAAACGACTCTGATTTGGGTGCTCGGGTTACGTGACCACCCTTTCCCAGTCCCATGTGCTGGCCGGCGCCTGTGTCCCTGGCCTGGTGGGGGAGGGCAGGTGGAGCACTGTGACCCTTAGAGCCCACATGGGGACGTAGCAGCACCTGGCCCAACATGGCTCCTTCAGCTCTCAGCGGCGCTTGGGAACAGAGAGGTGTGAGTTGCCCCACCCTTGATGTGTTTGATTTAGGAAAAGGCAGTGTATTTGGTGCTCCCTGGGTCCCGTGCAGGCAGCGGGACTGCAATTAGTTGAGAAAGTGGGGTCTAGTGGTGGAGGCGGGGCCTGGTGAAGAAGGGCACAGAACAGGAGTCGGGTGTGCCCAGATCCCCACCCTCCCCCCACACCCCGTCTCCTGCGTGAGCATTGGTTTCTTTATCTGCAAATGGGGGTGCTTCCAGCCTACCCAGACAGCATCTAGGGGGCAGGTGAGCGCCTGTGTTTTTGAAAAGCCAATCTTAAATGACTAAGGTTGGATTTCGGCAGAACATCTACAGGATCTGTGGGGAGGGGCGGGGTGGAGAGGGCGGCTCCCCCAGTCCAAGGCCTGACAAGTCCATATTCTCTTTGTCCCCAGACTCAGGCTATCTGTTCAGCGGGAGCCGCCCACCGTCTCAGATGTCCCGATCTGGGAGCTTCCGGTTTCAGGTGAGGGGACCGACTGGGAGGAGGGGCAGGGAAGCTGCCTCGGCCAGTGCCGCGTGAGGCGGGGACTCCAGGGCACAGTGTTTGTGTGAGGTTTGGGGCCAGACAGGCCCCGAATGTCCATTCAGATTTCAACCCTGGGAAAGTGACAAGCAGCCCATGCCTCCGTTTCCTCTTGTGTGAAAAGGGCGGCCATGTTACTAGGATCAGACGATAGCACGCTGCCATCCTCACCAGGGCTGTGGTCAGGTGGCACACACGCCAGGGCAGCCGCCAGCAGGAGCTTGGGTCAGCTGACCCTGAGTCTCCGGAGTTCCCTCCTGTCCGTCCTTGCTCTCAGCTGAGTAAGGTGCAAGGGGCTTTGGTAGAAATGGGGCGGGGGGACATGGCTGAGGCTCTGTGGACCTCCCCCCTCCCTCAGGTGCCTGGTGCGGCGCAGACCCCGCCTTGCCCAGGCTTCTGGCGGGGTACCTCTGCGCCCCACCTCTGCAGGACCTGTCCTTTCTTCCTGGGGCAATAGAGGAGAATGGCACACAGGACAGAATGGCACACAGCAAGCGCTCTGTGTCCACATTCATGCTATTGTCGTGCTGTTTGTGTCATCTCCTCCAGATTACTTCTCTCTGCTGTCGGGGAGCTACCCCTCCTCCCCGCTGCCTTCCCCGGCGCCCTCCGTGGGTGGCTCGGTGGCCTCAGCTCTGGGTCCTGCGCCACCGCAGGCCCCTCATCAGCCCTGCCCGGCTCAACCTGAAGGGGCAGAAGCTCCTGCTGTTCCAGACCCCGCCCGGGGAGCCCCCGCCACCCCCAGCAGCTCGGACGCCATCACATCACAACGGCAGCCTCTTCGCCGTGGAGCCTCCCCAGGTGCCCGGGGGCAGCCCGCGCAGGACACGAGGCACCGTGGGTACGGCCTTTGACCGCCCCCCAGGGTTGTGGGAATCCCTCTGCAGCCAAGAGCCTTCGAGTGCCGTGGTGGGGCCCGTCCTTGCTCTGGCCATCCTGTGTGTCACTTCCAAGCTCTGACACCATCTGTTGGCCAGCATCCAGGCCAGTGTGGCCACATGTGCCGACAGTGTAGGAGACAGGAAATTCACAAATTCCTGTGGAAGGTGTAGATTTTAAAGGTTGGGGCCTAAGTAAAAGCGTTGAATGCTTTGTAGGACAGCACCATTTGAGCAAAAAAAAAGTCTTGTGACCAGACACAGCCCGGCAGTGTGTGATGTGTTCTCAATCACTCCCAAGCAACAGAGGACCCTGAAGGTCAAGTGCAAAAGAAGAAAATAAAATCAGCCAGTAGAGGGCAATGTCCTAGAGGGTTCCAAGTCACAGAGCCAGACTAGGAGTGTCAGAGCTTGGAAGGGACACACAGGATGGCCAGAGCAAGGACGGGCCCCACCACGGCACTCGAAGGCCTCTTGGCTGCAGAGGGATTCCCACAACCCTGGGGGGGCGGTCAAAGGCCGTACCCACGGTGTGCTTCGTGTCCTGCGCGGGCTGCCCCCGGGGCACCTGGGGAGGCTCCATGGCGAAGAGGCTGCCGTTGTGATGCGAGTGGGCGTCCGAGCTGCTGGGGGTGGCGGGGGCCTCCCCGGGCGGGGTCTGGAACAGCAGGAGCTTCTGCCCCTTCAGGTTGAGCCGGGCAGGGCTGATGAGGGGCCTGCGGTGGCGCAGGGACCCAGAGCTGGAGGCCACCGAGCCAGCCACGGAGGGCGCCGGGGAAGGCAGCGGGGAGGAGGGGTAGCTCCCCAACAGCAGAGAGAAGTAATCTGGAGGGAGGATGACACAAACAGCAACGACAATAGCATGAATGTGGACACAGAGCGCTTGCTGTGTGCCATTCTGTCCTGTGTGCCATTCTCCTCTATTGCCCCAGGAAGAAAGGACAGGTCCTGCAGAGGTGGGGGGGCGCAGAGGTAGCCCCACCAGAAGCCTGGGCAAGGCGGGGTCTGCGCCGCACCAGGCACCTGAGGGAGGGGGGAGGTCACAGAGCCTCAGCCATGTCCCCCCGCCCCCCATTTCTACCCAAAGCCCCTTGCACCTTCCTCAGCTGAGAGCAAGGATGGACAGGAGGGAACTCCGGAGACTCAGGGTCAGCTGACCCAAGCTCCTGCTGGCGGCTGGCCCCCTGGCGTGTGTGCCACCTGACCACAGCCGCTGGTGAGGATGGCAGCGTGCTATCGTCTGACCCTAGTAACTATGGCCGCCCCTTTTCACACAAGAGGAAACGGAGGCATGGGCGTGCTTGTCACTTTCCCAGGGTTGAAATCTGAATGGACATTCGGGGCCTGTCTGGCCCCAAACCTCACACAAACACTGTGCCCTGGAGTCCCCCGGCCTCACGCGGCACTGGCCGAGGCAGCTTCCCTGCCCCTCCTCCCAGTCGGTCCCCTCACCTGAAACCGGAAGCTCCCCAGATCGGGACATCTGAGACGGTGGGCGGCTCCCGCTGAACAGATAGCCCGAGTCTGGGGACAAAGAGAAATATGGTACTTGTCAGGCCTTGGACTGGGGGAGCCCGCCCTCTCCACCCCACCCCTCCCCACAGATCCTGCAGATGTTCTGCCAAAATCCAACCTTAGTCATTTATAGATTGGCTTTCTCAAAAACACAGGCGCTCACCTGCCCCCCCAGATGCTGTCTGGGTAGGCTGGAAGCACCCCCATTTGCAGATAAAGAAACCAATGCTCACGCAGGAGACGGGGGTGTGGGGGGAGGGTGGGGGATCTGGGCACACCCGACTCCTCGTTCTGTGCCCTTCTTTCCACAGGCCCCGCCTCCCGGCCACCTAGAGCCCCACTTTCTCCACTAATTGCAGTCCCCGCTGCCTGCACGGGACCCAGGGAGCACCAAATACACTGCCTTTTCCTAAATCAAACACACCTCAAGGGTGGGGGCAACTCACACCTCTCTGTTCCCCCAAGCGCCCGGCTGAGAGCTGAAGGAGCCATGTTGGGGCCGGTGCTGCTACGTCCCCATGTGGGCTCTTAAGGGTCACAGTGCTCCACCTGCCCCTCCCCCCACCAGGCCAGGGACACAGGCCCCGGCCAGCACATGGGACTGGGAAAGGGTGGTCACGTAACCCGAGCACCCCAATCAGAGTCGTTTCAGACCCATCCTGTGGATGCTGGGAGAGGGTTTCCTGCCGGGCATGGGCTGCAGGAAAAAGGGGGGAGGCCCGCAGCAGAAGGGGCAGAGCTGGGGAGACAGAGGGAGAGATGGGAAGCCTGCCCCTGGCCACAGCCCTGAGCCCTGGTCTCCTGGTTAAGTGAGCCAAAAACCTGCAAAAAGTTGTCCCTTTAACCCACCCTGGCAACGGAGACTTTAGAGTCCCACCCATCACCAGGCATTCTGAGACCAGCCTGCACCCCACAGAGCCCTGCTGCCAGCTTAGATAGCCGTCCTGCAACCTCGCCTTGAGCCTCAACAGGGAGATGGCCTGCTCTCAGTGGGCAGGAAGCCCCAACCCAGAGGCCTGATTAGGCCCTGGGACTGCCACCTTCCCCTCCCAAGGGGCTTGAAATGGAAGTCCCTGGTGCTACCAGCCTCAGTTACAGAGTCTTCTCAGGAGCACCAGGCCCTCTGCACAATTTCTTCCCCTACCCCAAGTTTTGTTCGAGAGCTGCCAGGCTGGGGCCCCCTGAAAACACAGGGAGACATCTCTGCTTAGGGGAGAAGCAAAACCATCCTAATAGCCAGCTTGGGGTGCACGCAACACAGCCTGAACTTTAGCCACAGGGCAGGAGCGAGGCCTCTGCTGTTATCCGTCCCCCTCAGAGTCACAGAGCGGCCACACCTGCAAAGGGCCAGGAGCTTCGAGGGCTGTTCTCACTCCATCCCGCTACAGCCCCGGAGGCACAGCGCCCACTTAGAGGAGGAGATTGGGGTGCAGTGAGGCACATGCATGAGCCGATGGACTACCCCCAGTGGATGTGGCCATTCCGGGCACTTTGGTCTCCTGCGTGTCATCCTCACGGCACCCTATGGGGTGTGCACTGCCAGCCCAGTCCTGGATGGGGAACAGGACACCGGCAGGTAACACTACTCGCCCTGGGGGACGAGGCTGGAGGAACCGCCACGTGGCCTCGAGTCTGTGTCCCTTATTTCACCTCCGTCAGACCAGCAGACGGGCCCAGAGGACCCCAGCAGCAGGGAGGGGTATTCTCCAGAGGAAGGGTGGGTGGCAGGGCGGGGCCTGGGGCTCTCATTTTCAACCCGGCATTTACTTTTCGGGAAACACCAGGACCAGGAATTGCTCTCCTCTGAGCTCAAGTCCCTGTGGAACAATTTGGGACAGGTCTGTACCTGAGCTGCACCCGGGCCCCACCCCCACCCTGAGGCCTCAAACCCTGTCCCAGTGCCTGAGGGGGGCTCCAGAGAACACTATGGGGGAAGAGCCCCAACTGTAGGGGCTCCCCATTTCCCACGTCCAGGGTCCCCTCGCCCCAGGTGCTGCTCACGAGGTGCCCAGAGGTCCCCAGCACCCAGGGCCTGAACCAGGCCAGGCCTCAGCTGTGACTTGTCTGCTACTGTCCCTTGGGCCGTGTGCTGGGCCTGGCGCCAGGCAGGGGCTTAGGAACACTCTGCTGGGCAGCAGCCGCTCTCCCCAGCAACTGGGCTCGTATTTGGTCACAAAGAAACATCCAGAATCTGGATCTCTGGACTAGGGGCAATCACACCTTCACCCCACCCAAAGGCCTCAAAGCCTACCTCCCGCTCAGCTCAGACACTGTCTCCTCCAGCAAGCTGTCCCTGCTGGCAGGGGGACCCACCTCCATCTCGGAGGACGCCCACTTGCACGCCTCAGACAGCCCAGCTCAAAGCCTAGTCCTTAGCAGCAACAGGACCCTGGGCAAGCCATGGAGGGAAGCTGAAGCTCAGAGGGGTGTCTGACCGGGAGCTAAAGGCCCTGCCTGGCAGAGTTGTTGACAGGCTTAAACAAGACCCTGGCTGTGCATTTCTAAGCCTGGTGACTATGATTTAATAATGAGGGGCTGGGTTAACTGTGACGCCACCCACATTCTCAGAGGCTAGGATCCTGCCTGACAGCCCCTGGCACTCCCAGCATCAGACCTGGCACTCAGAGAGCCGGCCCCCGAGAGAGACCCCCGAGAGTGAGGTAGCCTGTATGTGCCAGGTGGCTTCCCAGGGGTCAAGAGGTTCGTCACAGAATACTCGTGGGCCTCCAGGTATGTTTAACTTTGTGTTTTGTCTACAACTGACTTCCTAGAAGATCTCGCTGGGAGGGGTGAGGGATGAGGCAAAGTGCCTTAAAACAGGACACAGGTCTGGGCCACAGCAGCGAGCACTCGACAGACGCAACTGACCTGGATGGAAGCCCTGCTCGCTCAGACCCCACGGGAAGGCTCAGGGCACCGCTGCCAGTCCCCAGGCCCTCAGTCGCAACAGCAGCAGCCAGAATGGTAAGAACCGTGGTAAAAGACAAAGCTCCGGCCAGGTGCGGTGGCTCACGCCCGTCATCCCAGCACTTTGGGAGGCCGAGGCGGGAGGATTGCTTGAGGCCAGGAGTTCAAGGCCAGCCTGGGCAACATAATGAGACCCCCATCTCTACAAAAAATAGAAAAATTAGCCAGGCGTGGTGGCGCATGCCTGTAGTCCCAGCTGCTTGGGAGGCTGAGGCAGGAGGTTCGCTTGAGCCCAGGAGTTGGGAGGTTGCTGTGAGCTATGATGACATCACTGCACTCCAGCCTGGGCGACAGAGCGAGATCCCGTCTCTTAAAAAACAACAAAAAAAGACAAAGCCCAGTGAGCATGTTTGCCGAGCATCCATGGGTGCTAGGTACCCTTTGAAGCACGTTAAATGTCATCTCATTTTACCTTCACAACTGCCCACAAGGCGCCTTCTATTAGTAGCCCCGTTTCTTTGTGGGGAAACTGAGGCTCAGGGCAGGTACGAGCCTTGGTCGAGGGCAGCTCCCGCGCGGCTGCAGCAGGCCCTGAGCCCAGACCTGCCTGTCGGAGTGGCGGGAGCGCCACACCTTCCCGGCGCTCCCTGCACTGTGTGCCCACCACAGCCCCACCCCGGCTGCCCCCAACCCGCCCGCCGAGGACACCTACGCTCTTCTTACCTGTTCGGGTCAGAGAGGGTATGGTTCCCAGCGAGAGGGCCCGGCTGAGGCGGCCTGGCAGCGAGGAGGGCGAGGCCCGTCGCGGAGACTGGAACAGCTGCTGGTTGGCGAGGGGCAGGAAGCCGGGCGGGGTGGGGATGAACAGAGACGGTGAAGAGCCGCCGACGCTCGGGCAAGGGATGGCCAGGCTGGGGCTGGTGGGGAAGAGGCCAGCAGAGTCTCCTGGGAAGTACCTGCAAGGGCCCATCGGGCATGGGAGAGGAAGAGGGTCAGCCTGGAAGGTTCTGGAGGCAGCCTTACACAGCAGGGCCCGAGTCGGGGTCCCAGTGGGGGCGTGCATTAGTTGAAGCAGAGAAGCAGTCCGACCACACTCGTGCCATTAGGAGCGGGTGGCTGGGAGGTGCCAGCGTGACCCAGCCCTCCCGGCATGCCCCCTCCGACCTCCTCAGCTCACAGCAAACTAGTTCCACTACGAGCCTCGGCATTAAAGTGACACTGTCGCCCTTGCCAACCTCAAGCCAACCCCTTCGCGTTGAAACAAATGCCTGGCCCCACACCAGGCACTCAGTAAAGGTTAATGGACTTAGGATTCCTTCTTGCCACTTCCTGTCCCACGCCCAGAGCCTCCCGACAGAGCAGCTGAGCTCAGAGACACACTGGCTGGTCTCCCAGACGGGCCTGGACCTCAGGAATGGAGGCGCAGCTCTGGGAGCCCCCTGCTCCACAGGGTGCTGTTCCTGGAAGTCCCACTGCAGCTCTGCCCTCAGGAGGCTGCCCCTGCTCTCTGGCCTTGGACACTGGAAACTCCTGGTGGAGCAGAGGGGGAGGCGGCCAGGCCCTGGAATCCCCGGAAGAGGCTCTCCCGGGACACACACCTAACTCGAACTTAGGAAAGACCTGTGAACAACCACACGGCTGCCCAAAAGACAGGTGACAGTGTCTCTTTAACTCGAGATGGTACAAATCACACAACAGGGCCCGATGGCCCCACGCCAGAATGTCAACCATGCTTCTGATTAAGGCACCTGATTACAGAGGGGGGAGAGGGACAGAGGCGGTTAATACATTAGTCCGCCATCCGGACGGAGCTGTGGGGGTCCAGCCTTACCTCAGTGCCAAGGGACAAATGAGCCCAGCAGACAATGGCCGGATGAAGGGGCAGGCTGGCTCAGGCCCTGCAGTGAGCCAGAGCTGACTAAGGTACCGGTGCCTATCACCACTCAATACTTGGGGACCACCAGCCAAGCCACATGCCACCAGGCACCCAGCCATTTTCCCCTTATAAAAAGTTTTATAAAGCATAGGGTCAGCTGTTGACTTCCTGAAGAACTGTGACCTTTAATACCCTCCAAGGTACCAGGAGGCCACCTAGACTCTGGAACCAAAGGTGCAGGGTTTGGGGAACATGGGGATTAAGGCAGGGCGCATCTCTGCCCAAGCAGAAGGGCCTGGTCACCTGGGCCCCAGGCTGGACACACTTTCGCTCCCCTGCTGATCTGCACTACGTCCACCTTGCCCCTAAGGCTCTGGGGAAGGTTCCACCTCTAAATAGAAAATAAGATTTTGTCATTCTAGAATTTGATACTACCTCAGGCAATGGTCCGGAGGAGGAGGACACTTTCAGGCACTGCAGGGCAGTGAAGGATTGGCTGGGGCCTTTAGACACTTGCTCTGATCATGCATGACCTTCCATGGGAGAAGAGCTGGTGCCAGGCCCGTCCAGCAGATGGCAGCAGGGCTCTGCGCTGGCCTTCCTGTGCCCACCCACCTCCGGGCAGCACACAGCACAGCCAGGAGTCAGCCAAGGGCACCAGAGCAGGCAGGCCGGCTGGGGACGCAGTGAGAGCAGAGAGTCCCAGCGGGCTGTGGGCTTCCGAGGCGGCCGGCTGGGCCCCACGGGTCAGCTCCAGGAGGAGCTGCTGGGCGTCACCAGTGCTTCCCCACCCCACCCAGCTCCTGCTCACCTGGGGCGGTCCCAGTGCGCCCAACCCGTCTCCCAGCCACCTGGCACAGGTGCTGTTCCCAATTTTGGTGCAACTGAAAATGTAGGCGCTATGGGGAGTTCTCTGGCTGGGAGACCAGTAACATCACTCAAAGAGCGGGTCCTCTGAAAGCGGGTTCCCAGGGCTGCGCGTGGAGGCTGTGCTCCGCCCGAGGGCTCCCCACCAGGGAGCTCCTCCGGTTAAAGGAGCCCGATCTCCGTGTGGTTCCGAAGAACTTCCTCTGGTACCGACACCTCCTCTGGTGAGAGGGCCTCCAAGACGGGCCTGCACCCCCAAACCACGTCTCAGAGAGGGGCTAAAAGCTGAGAATGCAAGCCTGCGCCTCCACCTCGGGATGGTGACTCTGGGGGAGACGTCTGGTCTTCTCCGTCCCAGTCCGAGTCAAGAGTGGAAGGAGAGAGAGGACTACGTTTTAAGCAGCAGTTTATTGAGGCAGGAAAGGTATGATCCGGCGAGGAGAGCTGGGCCCCCCGAGCCGCCTGGCATCATTGTCTCCAGCTCCCAGTCCTGACTCCCCACGCGGACACCTGCGGACGCGCCCAAAGTCCGCCCACCCCCAGGCCTGCCACGGAAGCCTTCCTGAGGAAGCGCGGAAGAACAAAGCAAAAAGACGCGGTACCTGACGCCAACGGGTAAGAGCAGGGCCCTGGAGGCATTTATTGAAAACACAGCATCCAAAACACGACATCTATGCCAGAAGCGGAGGTTACAGTGATTTGAGGGTCACTAGACAATTATCCACAATTCTACTACACGAGACAGAGGAGACTCGGTGACAGTCATGGACAGAAAGGACACAGGCTCCTTCCTGGGCCGGGCGGGGCAGGTATGGAGGGTACATCCTGGTGGTCTGTTCCCAGGCAAGTGTCCCCGGGGAGCCTGCTCGGCCCGGGTGGGGATCCCAGACCCCAAGGGTGAAGACCTGGCTCTTGTCTCGGGGACGGTCACCTGCACCTAGGATGATTCCACCCTGACCCTGGAAGGCCTCACAGCCGACCCCAGCAGGGGAAAGAGAAGTCCCAGCAGGGGTGACACTTTCCCTGCAATGAGCTAAAACGCAGTGGTGCTCACATTCCCTCCAGTAAATCACAAGGTGCTGGCATTTTCTCCAAGTGATGAAACTTTAAGGGATAGATGGATAATTTTAAAAAGTCACACAAAACTCTAAGAAAGCCAGAAATCCCTGCTCTGACAACGGCCATCTCACGAGATGTCCCTCCACACCCCACCACATGGCAGGAGAGACGTCTGCTTAGCAGGGGATGCTGGCCAGCGAGAGCTGGTTCTGGTTATTATAAATAATTTAATTTAAATACACACATACACACAGATGTCCTGCTTCTACCCAATGCCAAGAAAAGCAGAAATTAGTGTCACACTGTCAAAACTTCCTCGAGAACAGGAGTCGAGACATGAGCAATGGCATGCACGGCAGACAGACAGACCCCTTTTCCTGACCTGTTGCTTCCTTTTCTCCTTTAAGCTCTTTTTGGGGGTGGGAGGTCGGGGTAAAGGACAGGCAGGCGGCCACACATGCCGCCCCAGGCTGCTCTGGCCCAACGCCACCCTCCTCACTGCTGGGCCAACGGGACTCGGCCCCATCCCGGTCTTTTCAAAGGGACTGTCATCTCACCTCCTCAGAGCCGCAAGCTGAGCCCACGGGGCCTTGTCTGCAGCCACACAGCTCATCGGCCACAGAAGCCCACCTGGACCACCACGTGCGGCTGCTGTGCAGGGAGTGGACTACTATCCAGTCGCTGGGGTTCGGGGGCCTCTCAGGACCCTCGAATGTGGTGGATTCACACTAGCAGGGCCCAGGCACCACTGTCTGCCTCCCTGTGGGGCTCCCTGCGGAGGTGCCCAGGGTACCTCCCACCTAGCTGCCTCCTTAGACCCAGGAAGTTGGGTGTGACCCTCACACACGTGTCACCTGCCTTTGCCTCCTCTGGGCCCCAGAGCACAGAGTGGAGGAGCTGGCACGCTCTGGGCCACACCTGGGGGTGGGGAACTTATGCTCCAAGTGACAAGTAGCAGGACGCATGGGCCCTGGAGGGAGTGTGCAGCCCACTTTGGGGCCACCAGAGGGTAACATGCCAGGTGGGGGAAGCCCTTGGTTCCCCAACTCTGGCTGTGACCCTTGGATGTGGCCCCCAGGATGGGAACTTCCCCCACATGCGGACAGCACCTCGATTTCCAAAGCATGTCCTCACACCACTTCATACATCATGCCCGTGGACCCTGGCTAGGGCTCACTTCTCATTCCAGATTGTAAACTGAGGCTAGGAACTGCAAGGGCCTGCCCAGCAGAGCACAGCCACTGACCAGCAGGTCTGTGGCCTCCCCTGGGGCATGACTTAGAGAGGTAGCACCCCTGGGCACCACCCTACGGATCCCCCACCTGACTCTGGGGCAGAGTATGGCTGGGCTGTGTGGCGCTGTGGTGGCCAGAGACGTAGAGAGCAGAGCCTGGGCATTCTGCCAGGGGGTGGGGAAGGCTATGATAGGCCAGAGAATGACAACATGACAATGGCCTGGTGTCACTGAGGGCCTATGTCCCTTGGGCCTCTTATCTGTGTTGACCTTGGGCATCCTATGGGGTAAGTGGAGGAAACAGGACACCCCAGGCCTAAGGGGGAGCAGGTCCAACGAGTGGCCCAGGAAGGCCCAGCTCTAGCCTCCAGCTAACAGGAAAGGGGTCCCGCCTTTTAGGGGCAGAGCACACACGCCTGGCCCACAGCGGTGCTCAGTGACTACCTGATGAACAAAGGACTAAGATTCCTCCAGGCAGGCAAACTCCCACACAGCCTGGCTGTGAAGAGCAAACCTGCTGACCACAAGAAGCAGGACTTTCTACTGTCCACCTTGGGAAGGGTCTCAACCCACAAACTCACAGTCAAGGCCAGGCTGGGCCCAAGGACTGTAGTTTCCATTCCCGGGGGAGGAGGCTGAGGGATCACAGGGTCTCAGGAAGGTCTTGGAGCAGGGGACTGGGTAGTGGACCCAGAGGGGCAGGCCTGCCTCCCTGTGGTTCCACTGCCTCCTACAAGGCTGTCCCAGCAAGGGGGCACCGTGGGGAAACCGTGGTGGCACCCAGACCAGAGGTTCCACATAGGGATGGGAGGTGGGGGCGGGCTGTTCTGGCCTGTCACTCTGCTGAGCAGCACCTGCTGTGACAAGCAGCCTGAGTGGTCAGGACATGTAAGAGGGGCCCAGCCTGCAGCCACTGTGCAGAGTGCAGAGGGGCAGAGAGCAGGCCATGCCCTCTTCCAGTGGCATCAGAGCCAGGAACAGGCTGTGGCGAGAGGAGGGTGCCTGAGCTGCCAGCAGGAAGCCACGGGTCACACGCAGGCTGTGTGGGTGCTGGCTATATTCTGGTCACGGGGGCAGCAAAAGGGTCTTTGGCCAGAGAGGTGATGGCAGTGGTGAGTAGCTACAGACACTTGGGGATGGCTTCGCAGTGTCATAAAGTAAAAAGGGGGGCAGGCTGAGGGGTTGGGCCAGGACCCAGGCTCTAAGCTGGGGGTGGGCATGAGTGAGGCAGGTAAGAAGAGGCAAGACAGAGAAGTGCCCTGCTCCGGGCTGGGGCAAAGCCTGGGCCTGTCCGTCCGTCTGTCCTCCCCCCGCAGTCACGGCTGCTTCTCTGACCTTCGGGGCCGAAACCTCCGCGGGCCCGTCGCCTTCCTTGTGGCCACGGCTGCCGTGAAGCCCACCAGGCAGCACAGGGACGTGGTGCTGAACTTGAGTGTGTCCAGCCAGCTGGGCGAGGCCGTCTGCAGATGCTGCTCCGCCAGGTGCAGCCCCAGCAGCAAGGCCCACAGGCCGGTGCAGAAGGCATCGATCCTCCGGAGCCTGCAGGGAGAGCGGCAGGTGAGCCCTCGGGCAGGGCAAGGCCTCTCGGCCCTGCTCAAAGGGCAGAATCCAGAGCCAGGAGGAGAGCGTGGGCCTCGGAGTCCCTTCACAATCACATGCTGCCTGGCTCCATGTGCTACGGACAGCTCCCGCTGAGTCACTGCCAGGAGTGGCGGGTGACGTGGACACAGACTCGCACAGGGCCTGCCCCTGCTCAGGGAGCAGCCCACGTGAGCCACCACAGCCCATGAGCAGGTGGTCACCACACCTCAACTTTACAGACAGGAGCCTAAGGCAGAGAAATGGTGGCTGGGCCCCGGCTCGCAGCGGGTAAGTGGTAAGCTGGCCTGAGTGTCACTGAATGTCACTGAGGGCATTTGCTGTGCAACCTCACTCACCCAACTCCCAACCCCTAGAGAATAGGGACTGAGTCTTGCTCCAGCTACAGAGGAGGGTTCAGCCTGGGGCTGTGCTCTCAACAGGGCCTCCTGACTCCTGCCCCCAGGCAGCCACCCAGCACGCAGACCCTGAGACCTCCCGTACCCACAGTCCCACACGCACCTGATGCGGCCGGCCAGCAGCATGGCCAGGAGACAGGTGAGCAGGCCCAGCACCACGACACCCATCTGGTGGCTCTGCCCGAAGGCCCAGGCCTCTCGCAGCTTCTCTGCTGTGTGCTCGGGCAGCAGGCCCAGCAGCTGCCGCCAGCCCTCAGCTCCAGGGGCACTGCTGTTGTCAGGCGTGGCAGAGCCATTGCCACCAGGCGGCAGGGCCAGCGGCAGGGCGGCCCCTGGAGCGAAGGGGTCACTGCTGCCATAGAGCGCGGCGGTCAGCAGGAAAGCGCAGGCCAGGAAGGCGAGGGCACGGAGCAGGATGACCTGGGCCGGGGCCTTCGCTGCGGAGGAGCAGAAGCTCTGAGGAGGAAGGAGAGAGGCAGGTCAACGAGATGGCCACAGAGCCAGCCACAGCCACTCTGCACTGAAGGATCCCGCCAGGCGCCCTCTTCCCCCACCACAACTCTGCCCAAAGGTGCTGCTCGGTTCTAAGGCCCGTCTCGCCCTGGACCCGCACTGCCCACTCAGTGTGGGGAAGGTGCTGCCCACCACGCTCTGCGTTTACAGAAGTCTCTTCCGTATTATGCTGACCTTATTCCTCCTAACACGTTTTTCAATCATTATGTCATGTTCTCACCAAAAGTGGCTATAGTTACTTTAACTGGAATTGACATGAATGTACAGATTACTCTGGCAACAGCTAAACTTACAAATACAGGAGTAAGTTATTCAGCCCAGGAACACGGTGGTCAGAATGAGAACCACAGGTCCAAGGACCGGCGGTGGCAGCACAGCCGTGTGGTCAGAGGTCCAGCCGCAGACGAGAAACCACACACCAACTAGACTTAGGGCACATATCTGGGGACTTGAGGGGGTAGTTTTTACTTCTAAAACTACTTGCTACTATATCTGATTTTTAAAAACCAGACTATTCCATTAACTGAGTACTATGATAAAAATGAGCAGTTTTAGCCAGGTTCAAACCCTGGTGTCACCACACACCAAGTACATGGCCTTATGTGTGGCCCTGTGCAAGTTTCTTAGCCTCCCTGAGTTTGGTGTCCACAGCTGTCAACGGGTCCCAGCAGCTAAGAGTGCGCACCAAGGCTGCTGTGAGGCACGAACGCGGCAGTGTCAGAGTGCTCACATACAGCAAGGCGGCCCCAAACCCACGCTCAGGTAGGCAAATAAGGAATGCAACATGATACCGGTCACTTTCCTTGGGGACACCTATTCTGGATAATGACACGAAGAGACCTGGGGGGCAGGGTGGGAAGGTGGCCCCAGGGCAGGTTGTTTTCCAAAGGGTCTCAGCTCTGAAGAGCTGCCGTCTGGTCACCAGGGCCCAGCCCTGAGAGGGTTCCGTACAATAACTCGGGGCCTCGATGCCCCAGGCGCCCCATGGAGCTCGCCTCAAACCTGCACGTGGGTCTGGTCGGCCTCCCGGCGCTTGAACTGGTGGCTGAGCAGCAGCGCGCGCAGCTGGCGGTTCTGGTGTTTGATGTAGTACTCGACGGCCGCCTGGCACGGCCGGCACAGCTTGTACATCTGCTCCAGGTGGTGCCGGTACACCTCCACCTCCTCATCGTACCTGCCCTGCAGGATGGGGGACAGAGGCTCGGTGTTTAGGGGGCAGAGGAGGTTGCTGAGCTGCCCATCTTGTAGGCTGGACCTGGGTTTAGATCCTGGCCTTGCCATTCACAAGTCGGTGATCATGGGCACATCGTCCCACTTTGAACCTGCTGTCCCTTTGCCCACTGCGCACAGCAAGGTGGCCACACAGACCACCCTGAAGCCTTGAGGGTGTGAAATGCACTAGAGAGCCCCTGCCTGGGCCTGGGCCTGAGTGGGGGTGGAGGGCTTGTTAGGCTTTCGGAACAGCCCAGAAGACAAGTCCCGTCCCACCTCTCCCTCCCTGTTTCCAAGAAAGCCAAACATTTCAGTCTGCAGGGGCTGGTAGGGGCGTCAATGTGCTGTCTTGCTGGGACTGAACATTCCAGGAAAGCCGCCTGACTAAGTCACACCTTCCTTCCCCTTCTGCACGTTCCCCAGCTCTCTCTGCCTTGGTCTGAGCTCACCTGTTCTCCTTCCCTCCTAGGCTGGACCCTGGGAAACCCAGTGTCTCTGGGTGTCAGCTGGGATCTGCCTCTTGAGGTCACAGGACCCTGGCTGGCTGAGGTCTGGGGTGGGGGAGGGGACAGGAGTAACCAGGTAACAGGGCTCCTGGCTCCATGGTGGGCACAGGGGAGGCGAAGCTCCCAGCTCAGGCCAACTCCTAACGCCAAGCCTCTCAGCAGCATCCAGCTAGCTTCCTTCCTCTCCTACAAGCCAGCAGCATTCGCTGCCAACTCTCAGAACAAACTGCCCAGGTTGCCAATGAGCAAGACTGACTCAGAGGGATGAGGACAGGATGGGTCCAACAGGGCCCCAGCTGGAGCCCAAGGTCCCTACCTCCCTCATCCCAGAGACAAACCCCTCTGGACTGGCAGGCACTGGGTATTCCACGGTGTTCCCAGGCTTGGAACCTGACAGCAGTGGCCATAAGACACCCAGAGAAGCAGCTCAGCTACAACTGAGATGGGAGAACTGAGACACCCTGGAATGCATGGCTGGCAGGGGTCAGGGTGACGGGGGCCCTTTGGGCACTTGGGACAGAAAAGCTGCTGTCTGGCGGAGCAGGGGCTGGAGGCCCAGAGGGTGCCCAGCCAGCACCCTGCACGCGTGCCCGTCCCCTCGGCTGCTCTAAGCACCCCCACCCCAGCAGGGCCCGTCCCTGTCCTGGCCTCACCTCCTCGCGTGGAGAGAAGGCCGCCAGCTGCTTGATCTTGGTGGTCTGGTGGTGGCTGCACCTCTTACACAGCAGCACTTGGCTGCTCACCCACTGCTGCGGCTGGGCGGGGTCGCGGAGGCTGGGCGTGCTGCTCACCACGTGGTTCAGGTGCTCCATGTACTGCGCAGGGATCGGCTTGTTGTAGTCGCCATTCTGGGAGAGGAGGGCAGGACTCGTGGTGAGCGGGCGAGCCTCCCCGGCTGGCTCAGGCTTGGTGCCAGGGCCCCCTCCCCACCCCACCCCCGTGCAGGGCCATCCTGGGGAAGTGACGGTGGCTCCCAGGCATTCCATGCTTTCTTTCTTTTTTGAGACAGTCTTGCCTTGTTGCCCAGACTAGAGTGAGTGCCGTGGCGTCAGCCTAGCTCACAGCAACCTCAAACCCCTGGGCTCAAGCGATCCTCCTGCCTCAGCCTCCCAAGTGGCTGGGACTACAGGCATTCGCCACCATCCTGGGCTAGTTTTTTCTATACATATTAGTTGGCCAATTAATTTCTTTCTATTTATAGTAGAGACGGAGTCTCGCTATTCTTGCTCAGGAGGGTTTCAAACTCCTGACCTTGAGCAATCCGCCCGCCTCAGCCTCCCAGAGTGCTAGGATTACAGGCGTGAGCCACCCTGCCCAGCCCATGCTTTCTTTCTCACATGCAACAGCAGCAGCTTTTCTTCCAAAGACATTCGTAGGGAACCCAAAAGCCCAGATGCCGAGTGAAGCCACCCAGCCTGAGCGCACGACAGCTACTCGCCCACACCCTGCTACCAAACACGCTCCTTAGAACCCCCCGCTCAGCCTGCAAACCTGGGTCTAGTGAGGGGTCGGCAGGCCGTGGCCATAGAGTGGCTGCCTGATTGTAGAATGAAGTTTTCCCGGAACACAGCCAGGCTCATTCATTCGTGTATTATTTACAGTGGCTCAGCAGAGCTGAGCAGCTGTGACAGTGACCATACAGCCGGCAAGGCTTAAAATACTCCCTGGCCTGTTGCAGAAATGGTTTGCTAACCCTGAGCTAATACACAGAACGGGCTGTAGAGCCAGAAAGATCTGGGTTTGAACCCCAAATGTGCCACTTTTAGTGGTGTGACTCTGGACAAGTCACCATGGCTCCCTGAGCCTGGTTCCTCCTCTCAAATGAGGACGCAGCACCAGGGCAGTGCGATGTGGGTGAAGCTCCCTGCTCAGGGCCCAGCAGAGGAGGGGGTGTGGGGCCCCTGGGGTGGGCGGGCTGCCGCAGGGTGCCCGTCCAGGAGGCAGTGGCCCCGCACCCGCCGGTACCTCCTGGAAGCCGTTGTACTGCTCGCAGTGAGGGCAGTCCCAGCAGTTGCGGTTCCCGTAGGGCACCAGCGTGTCCTGGTTGCAGAACCAGCAGTTGACCATCGTGTGCGTTGGTTTCATCCTGGGGACGAGGAAAGAGTGGGGTCAGCCTGGAAGACCTTGACACCTGCCCAACCTTTCCATGGCCTGCCCCTGGGGCCACCAGGGAAAGGGTGCCAAAGGCAGGACCCAGGGGCCCCGAGCTGGAGACACAGGCTGGAGGAAGAGGAAACAATGGCTAAGGGCCAGGAATTCAAGCTGAACGTTGCTGTGTCCACCCAGCAGGGCCACACAAGGCGGCCACAGCCAACTCGGGCTCCTCGGCCCTCCAGGCAAAGCACCTCCCCGGAAGTGCCAGAGGCTCCCCAGGCTCCAGTGTGCCCAGAGGGTGATGCAGGGCCACCAGCCCCCCCATGTCCTGGGGCCTGCCCCCAGGCGAGAAAGTGGTGCTGCCAGAGGAGCTTCCAGATGGAAAGGAGCCTCCCGTGCTTCCCAGAGTCCCCAAGAGCATGAGCACAAGGAGGCTGAGGGGTAGGGACTAGTGACAGCTGGGGCCCACTCTCCCCGGCGGATACAAGGCGGGCAGGCCCCCAATGGTGCTTGCTGACCACATGTGTGGTGACAGGTGGGGCCTGCGGGATAATCCCAGCCCAGACACTGGGGATCTATGCTCTGGGCCCCCGCCACTCACCCCGCTGGCCGTGGGGCACCATGGGGCCTGGGGGAGACACACAGCAACTGCCCAGAAAACCCCTCCAGTCCCAGAAATCTAGACACAATATAGGTGACAGGCAACAGCTGCTGGAGTCCTGAGCCCTGTCCTGTCGTCCTCCAGCCCTGGGGTGCTGCCCGGGTCCCGGCCAGAGCGGGCAGCCAACCCCCGCACACAGGGATGGCCTACTGTCCACAGAACGGGACGGCACAGTCCCACGGCCTTTTCGCCCTGAGGTGCTGCTCAGACAAAGGATGGGGTCATGCTTCTGGGAAACTCCTGCCCGCCCAGCCTCAGTGCCCACATCTGTAAAGTGAGAGCACCCACGGCTTCCACGTGTTACAAGGATGCGATGACAGAAGACACAGAAAGGTGCTTGTTCTGTCACGACTCTGTCCCCGGGTTTGTCAGTGGCCTGAGGGGAGGCTGGCCCCTGGAAAGTTGGGCTCCAGCCCCTGACCCACTGCTGCCACCGGGCCTTGCCCCACTCTCTTCTACTGACGGTGGCAGGTTAAGGGAGTCCTCTTATCACCTGTCAGTTGGGGGCAGAGCATCTCCCTCACAAGGGATGGCTCTGGGAAGTGCCTAACAGCGCCTGGCCTGGAGTAAGTGCCCCGGAAGTCGTGGTCAAGTGGGAGAGGGGAGGCTTGGACAGAGGAGGTGGAACTAGGCCCTGCAGCCTCACCACACCTCGGCCCTAGCTCAGGCCAAAGCCCTCACAGTGGACAAGGGACTGTGGCGTCTTGTCAGCAGCTCGGAGCCAGCAGGCGCCAGCGTGGAAGGGAGCCAGACGCTGGGCAGCACATGCGTGCTCACGCTCACGGCAGCCTCCATTTCCTTCCCTCACCTGTCAGACGGGGAGGCTGCTGTGAGGACCCAGCAAGAGGATGGAGCAAGGCGCTGGGCATTCACACAGCTTCGCAGGTGCAGACGCGACACGGCAGGGGGCCCGGAAACCTGCTCTGCCGCAGTGCCCACATGGCATTCCTGGCAATTAAGCACTGGCTTGCTCTGTGCTCATTTGTACCTGCTTTACAAGCCTCTTTGTCCCTGTGCATGGAGGCGTGTCCTGATGGGGGATGACCTGGCTGTGACCTCTTCTCAGATGCCGACCCCCAGCTACCCCCAACCCAGGAGCCCCATGCCTGGGACAAGGCTCTGTACCCAACCGCCTCTGGGTGATGGGCCCCTCCATCTCCATGAAGGCCCTTACCCCGTTTGAAAAGGAAGGTCAACCTTTGAGCCTGCCCAGGGGACCAATGACAGGTGAGCAAGGACTGTGGCTTCAGTCCAGGGAGCCTGCCATGAAGCCCGCCCGCCCTGGGAAGTCATGCTTCGCTCTGACTCTCCAGCTCCGTTGTTAGGGAAATGGCTGCATGCATCTAGAATGAGCCGGCCTGGAAGCAGTGGCAAGAAGAGGAGGCAAGGGATTAGCCCTTGTCCCCAGGGCCAGCAGCTCCAGCTCCTGTCACCCTCAGCCCTTGGTAATCCCTTGGGGGGGAGAGGGGAGGGAGGTGCTCTCTCCGCTGCTCTACCCGCCAGGGCGTCCTCTCCCACGGCTCCTTTGAGAGGCCCTGCAGGCCCTGAGAGGCAGATGGGCGAGGGAGCCACAATGGGGTGCTGGGTACAAATCTCAGGCCCTCCTGCCAGTGCTGCAGCCTTCCAGAGACTCATGGTAGTCACACGAGCGAATGCAAAACACCATCTAACCCCAAGCCCATCTCACAGGTCGGACAAAGTCCCCAGGGCAGGCTGGCGCGGTCCCGTGCGCGCTCCAGCCCAGCCTGTCAAGGCAGCATCTGGGCCAATCTCTTCCACACCAGCCCAGCCCGGGCCCTGTTCTTGCTCAGGGAAATGCCACCCAAGTTTCCCTCATAAACTCTTCAACTTACTCTCTCCCTCAAGCCAGCCTCTGTCCCCGACTTGGCTGTGGGACAAACCACTTGATAGATGAGGTTTGAGGTGACAAACAATGTCCCTATAACACAGGCAACAGAGGTCCAGGTTTTGGACAGGTCCAGGACAGCAACTTGGCCCACAGGACAAGCGGGCGGGCGGCTGGGAGGATCTGGAAGCCGCTCTCTGAGTTCCTGCTACCTTGATGCTGAGCTCCTGGGGACCCAGGGGAGGCTGGAGGCAGCCCTGGGTGGACGGGCCCCCCAGAAGGAGCTGGGGCAGTTGCATGCTCCATACCTGTCCCGCCACCATCCCAGAACACATGTTATGGGGAAAAAGATGGACACGTGCCTGTTATACCACCACTCCGTCAGCCCTGAACACAGACATTTAGTTAAAAGAAATGGGTCCCTGGTCAGGGGTCAGGCACCTGCTGTGTGCCCTGCGCTGTGCCACGTGGAGGAGGCACTGATGGGGCTGGCTCCCTGCCCCCGGGGGGGGGGGAAGGGGTCAGAGGGCGTGGCAGGCCAGTGTGGCCACCAGACCCTGAGAAGAGCATGGCCTCTGCGAGAGGGGCCTAGTGACCTTGGGCACCGTGTATTGGCCCCAGTGGGAGTTCTGAAAGATTGTAACAGTCGACCAGTCTGAGCAACACACTGAGACAGTCTCTACAAAAATGTAAAAAAATTAGCTGGTGTGGTGGTGTGTGCCTGTAGTCCCAGCTACTTGCGAGGCCAAGTGGGAGCACAGCTTGAGCCCAGGAGTGCAGGCTACAGTGAGTAGCCAGTATGACTGGGCCACTGGACTCCAGCTTAGGTGACAGCATGAGACCCAGTCTCTAAAAATAAAAAACAAAAGAAAACAAAATCAGGTTTGGGGTTCCCTAAGGGACCCAGAAGTCAGCATCTGGCAGGGAACCAACAGGACATCCCAGGACAGTGTCACAGGTGGCTCCTCACTTGCTCTTCTGGTGGACAACACATGTTGTCTCACCCAACTGGCAGAACTGAAGAAGGGGCTTTAGCAACAGTGGCACCAAAACACAACTCAGCACTGTCAGGACCCAATGGGTCTCTGGGCCTCTGGCCTCAGCCTCAAAGCAAAACACGCTAAGTCCACTGCAACGCCTCCAACACCGAGTCAGAAAACCCCCAACAGACAGACCCCAGCCTGGAGAGGGTGAATCATTGCATCAGTTCACCAAGCACCAAGACAGGCTTGCAGAGATGCAAAAGTGAGCAAGACACTCTACTTCTGACCTGGACACAAGGACAAGAATGACGACCTCACAGGGCAGCTGGTGACAGATGCCACAGAAGAGAGGCCAACAAGCTGGGCACCTGCTGTCGCCCTAAAGAGCAGCTGTGCTCACAAGCAGAGCAAAAGGCAGAGGGAGGGGGCCACACAACTCCGCGAGAGCATGCAGCACTGGGAGAGCAAGTGTGGCCAGAGGGGACTCTGAACACCAGCACCAGGCTCTGCTGCGTAACCTGAGAGGGTGTGTCCTCTCTGTGGCCAGATGCTAGAAAGTAGACAATCTCAATAAACACCCACAGATGTGCAGAGGGTGACAAGAGCAGGGGTGTGCTTGCAGAGGATGAGTCCTGGACACAATGCGATGAGGGACAAGGACACACTCAAGCAGCAGAGTCAAGGGGAGAGGAAGCCGAGGAAGCTACAGGCGTCACGACAGCCTGGGTGCAGGAGTGAGCAAGCCCAGGGAGTGTAATGTGGGCTTCTGCCCCGTGACTGTGCTGACAGCGGTGGCAGAGTGGGTGCAGAGAAGCACCGAGGGCGTGAAGCCTGGCTAACAGCTGAAGAGCTGGCACAAGGCAGAGCTCTGCCATTTAACGGCTGGATGATGCAGGGCAGGCAGCCCAACCTCCCAAGCCTTGGTTTCCTTAACTGTAAAAGGGGGAGAACAGGAAGACCCTGAGCGGCTGCCGTCCAGTTTCACAAAGTGGCAGCGCGCAAGTGCTTATGGCACATCATCCGCGCCGATGTGTCAGCTGCTCCCATCAATAACTGTGACATGGCAAGAGGACTCCAGGGGCCAGCCCTGACTGAGGCTCTGGGAGGACCCGAGCCCTTCAGCAAAGGGACTTCCTCCCCCAGCACCCCAGCCAGTCCTACAGCACAGGACGCAACTGACCTGGAGCACCAAGAGGGCGTTCCCTTCACATCCTCCTCGGGGCCACTTTCCTGCCCTCTCCCATCTCTGTGCTGAGCCTGCAAAACCCATCCAGCCAAAGCGCCTTCCCTAAACAACTCTCCTTACATGCCCTCCCGAGGGTCATCCAAAGGCAGCATTGTGGCCACAGCCAATGCTTCCTCATTGTCAGTGGGGGGAGAAGGGCCTCTTGCCAGACTACTGGTGCTTCTGAATTGTGACAGTGGCCAATTTATGACCTCCAGGCGAAGCCCAGTGCTCTATGAGGACATTTTAGAGCATCCTGGCAGGGCCTGGCCCTTCTCTGCCCAGTCAACAGTAATGGTCCCAATGCTGCATCACAACCCTCCAGTGTTGCCCAGGGGCATGAAAGGACTTCCAGGTACCCTCCTAGCTCCCACTGCACCAGCTTGCACAACACCTCTCCAAGGCCCTAGGCGCCTATCACCCGGAGACAAAAGGCTGTGGCTAGCAGGCCAGGAAGGGGAGGCTGGACCCCTGAGAACAGCTACAGCCCAAGACACGAACGACTGTGGCACAGGGAACCACCCAGGCCAAATCCAGGCTCGCCAAACACAACTGAGACAGCGCGTGGCGTGGAGACTATGCCCTCACCCAGGCTCTGGTCCTTGCAGCAACGCTCCCCCATTCTGGGTTAGCTGAGAGGCAGCATGACCCGGGAAAGAAACAGGGAATTTTTTTCAGCTCTGCTGTCAACATGCTCTGGGAATCTGAGCAAATCGCCTCACCTCTGTTACCTTGTGTATAAAATGACCGGTTTGGACCAGCTGGTCCTGCACACCCCTTAAGCTTTCGGAAATTGGGCAGAAACTGGGACATGGAGAGACTTGGGTTGTCAGGGACCCTTGAGTTGGGGGCATGCTCAATCCCCAGCTGCCCGCCCTCCTCAGTCCTCCAGACACAGCTGATGTCCCTCCCACCTCATCCTCCTCCAGGAAGCCTGTGACTCAACCACTCTCACTTCTTTTTCAGTTTTCACCCTTGGGGAGAGAAGCAGTACACGCTATCACTAAAAGAAGAACACACCCACTAGCCAGACTGCCAGGGTTCGAGCTCCGGCACTTGCTGCTGGGTGAGTGTGGGCAAGTTCCTTCGCTCCCCTCACTTAAGACCTGAGCTTCACACACCCCTCGCTGAAGCTGCAAAACCACCTACTTACTACTCTGACTCCAGGGGTGTCCTTACAACCCCACTTTTCTCCCTGTCCCCTGGGAAGGTGGATCAGGTGAGGAAATGTAGCCCTGCTGAAGCAAGAGGTCACACTTTTATCCCTGGCATGGAGGTCGACGAGAGGCCAGCTCTGAACACGGGTCTGCAGGACCTGTGAGCGCGCAGCGCTGGGGCCGCAGCCCTCGGGTACCTCAGGCTCCCGCACCTCTGCAGGTCCAGCCCAGGGTTAGCACTGCAGGATCCTTCCGTTCAAATCGGTGGACTCTCCTAATTAATAACAATTTACGCGGCCCGTCGTCCCTCGGCTTCTCTAGGGGGAGTGGGAGTTGCGACTCCGTACTGCGCTGACTCGAGGCGTGCAGAAAAATGCGCGAGCGAGCGCCAGCCATTACCGCCCTCGACGCCAGCCATTACCGCCCTCGACGTGCCGCCGACGACCAGGGGGGCTTCGGCCTCGACCCCGGCTCGCTCTCCCGCAGAATGCGGGGGCCCAGGGCTCCCGGAAGGAAGAAGTTTGCAACCCCCGCGCCGCCGCCGCCCGCGCCCGCGCCCCGGGAGTTCCCGCCCCCAGCCAGACTCCCCCGCCGCCTCCCGACCGGCAATCCGAACTCGCCCCGGGGGACGCGCACAGCAGGTCTTCGCGCGTCCGCGAGCAGCGCGTCCCCGCCGCGGCCCCCGCGGGCCCGTCCGCGGCGCAGAGGCCGGGCCGGGCGGCAGCGGCCCGTGCGGCGGGCGGCGCCCAGGCGCCGGGCCGGCCGCGCACCACCATCCGCGCGATCCGGTAGATCAGCACGCCGGCCGCGGCGCACGCCGTGACGCCCAGGCCGCCGGCCAGGCCGGCCGTGGGGCAGCTGGCCAGCAGCGCGCTCACTCCCTCCATGGCTCGCGGGGGACTGCGGGCGGCGGCGGGGCCGGGGAGCGGGCCGCAGGCGGGACGCGGGGCGGCGGCGCGCGCCTCCTCCCGCCGTGACCTTCGCCGCTTTGTAGCCAGCGTGGGCCCGCCTCCTGACTCGGCGCGCTCCCGCCGCGTAGCCAATCGGAACGCGAGGCGAGCCGGGGTGGGCGGGGCGCCGGCGGAAACGGCGGCGCCGGCTCTGGTGCGCCCCCCAGCGGCCGGAGGGGAAAGACCACGCGCGGAGCCCGGCGTGAAAGGCAGGCACACCGCGAGGGCCCGGTGCTCAGGCTGCAAAAGGTCCACTAAGCTTCTGCGACTAAGGGGAACACCTCGGGCATAAGCGACTGCTTGTAATTTAGTCTTTTTCTCCTGCTAATCCTGTCTTCCCATAGTCTAGCGACTCAAGCCAAACCCTGGCTTATGTGCTTAGTGCTGTTTTGCAGCGAATTGCAGGTCCTTAAGCAACTCAGATGGTTAAAAAATTAGTCTGTTAGAAACAAGGACGTTCATAGAGACTAGGTTGAATAAGTCATGACAGTCATAATTCGGAACATAATGCAACCATTAGAATGTCAGAGCTAGTATTATCACATTGGAGGGATGATAACGTTTTTTAAAAAGCAACATGCAGATTGACTTTTATAATATCCAAAATTTGAATAAAGCCTTATGTGTTTGCAGGAAATAGAGGATGGTTAACATTGAACTGCACACTTATCATCTGGTGGGGAGGATTAGAGGGGAACATTAACTGTGTTTATTAACTTGAGCTTAATTACTAGTTTAAAAAATAGAAATGTTTCTATCTAATTACACAATGTTTCAGTGTTCTGACAACTTTTGCAGTGTTTTTTGAGGTCAACATTATAAGTTCTTTGTGGGTAGTGATGGGTCCAGGGCAAACGTTATCTTTGTTCCTACTGCCTGTTCATCTGTCCCCACCTTAATCATGCACATTCACTGGTTGGGAAGGAGCGCCTGAAAGGAACCCAAAAAAAACCCGTTAAGGGTTGACTTGAAGTATATGGACTGGACTTCTTTCTTGGAAGTGAGTATCCAAGCAAAGGCCTTTCCATTTGCGGCCTTGATGCTCTCACCAGTCATGAACAGATGAATGAACAACCTAAGGCATAGCTTCCACCTGTAATCCTAGCAGTCTGAGAAGCCGAGGCAGGAGGATTGCTTGAGGTCAGGAGTTTGAGACCAGCCTAAGCAAAAGTGAGATCCCATCTCTGCTAAAAATAGAAAATTTAGCTAGGTGTCATGGTCCCAGTCCATGCCTGTAGTCTTAGCTTACTCCAGAAGCTGAGGCAAGGACTACTTGAGCCCAGGAGTTAGAGGCTGCAGTTAGCTATGATGACACCACTGCACTCTATCCAGGGTGACAAAGGGAGACTGTCTCCAAAAAAAAAACAAAAAAAAAACCGTGAATGACAATACTTCCAAGGTTGTTAGAATTAAATGAGAAGATACCTAACACTTTGCACAGTGCCTGGCACACACTGGGTATGGAGTGAGGGTTTTAAAAGGTGTATGTGTGTGCATACATACACATATATATGATTACTTGAAAATAATGAAATCCAAATGACTAAGTTTGTGAAAAGAAATAAATGATGGGATTTCTCCATTAACAGCTCAAACAGTGATGCTTCCAATTTTCAAATCCAATGAGCCTCTTGAGCACTTCTTTCCTGCTTATTGTCTTCCCATTTTGGGTGCTCAAGTTTACTTCAATGCCCTGATACAGGAGAAGCAGAGAACTAAATTATACTAGGTCAACATCAGATTTATTCATTCAAGAATGTATCAGTGAAAATTAACCAACCAATTTTTAACCTTCATATTAGATAAAAATCTTGGGGAAAAATTCATGTTTTAATATGGATATTAAAATAGGAGGATGTTGCTAAGTATCATCAAATATGAATATTAAAACAGAAATGTGAATATTAAAATGCCACTAAGTACTACCATGAAAGAGTTAAAATGAGTTTCTGGAAATCGCTTTACTGTCATGCATTTAAAAGCACTGAAGCTTGACTAAAGTCACTCATTTTGACTTGTAGGTAAGTTGTTGAAGCAAACTATGTTAGACAGTAGAAGAATACCAGCCAGCCTCCCTTATGACTATATAAAGGTGAACAAAACTCAATTTAAATACAATGTGGAAATATCCTCCCCAGCCAGAGTTTCCGCAATTGGATCTGAAACTACAACACATCAGTATTAGAACAATCTTTACTGGTGCTCAGATTGAAAAATAGCCTTCATGTACCACACACTCAAACTCCAGGGAAAGCTAATGGAAGACTATTGGTTTTACCTGCTTTCTGCCTTAGTACCATCTTGTTGTTCCATTATTAAATTTGCTTTAAAAATAAGTGGGTAATTCTGGTAATTTCATAACTTTGAGCTGCAGTATTTAAACAATACCAACACATCCTGTCAGAATAAAAGCAAACTTGTAAGCAATAGTCCTGAGTTGTGCTCTTTTCCTCCAAGAGCAGAGATGTAAGAACAGAGTGAAAGACCTCAGAGAGAATAGCTATTCCTCGTCACACTCTGCATTCAAAGTGGAACTGGGAGGCTGTGCTATAACACACAAGGTACCTGGGCTTACCTTCCAGGATCTAGGCAACTGATAAACAGTTCCTTAAAAGCTCTTGCTTTTGGTTTAAATGAAGAAGAAGAGGATAACTTCAGGAAAATGTTTATAGTTTAAAATATTTAATGTCGCACCACCAAATGTGACACTTCTTCCCTGTCCAGCAGTCAGATTAGAAACAAGATGTATTTTGACTTTGTCCTTCTCTGCATTTCTAGGGCATGTTTCACTGAAATACTTAAGTCCTTAGCCACAATTTACAGTACAGTGAGCATAAAAGAGGACACAAACCAAATGTATACTTAAATTAAATAGCATGATTTAATTTAGTTGCTGCTTAATCCTGAATCCTCTTAAGTTAAAAAAAAAAAAAGTTATAATTAACTATTAACGTTAATGAATTGAAACCTTCCAGAAAGCACGAATCCAAAAGGAAATGTCCAACAGGTGATATGACCAGATACTTTATGGCCTTCCCTGTTTCAGTCTCAAACATTCTAAACATCAATGGAAAAAAAATTCTCTAGAGTTTTTCAGTTTTATTCTTCTAGAGCACAATTTTCTGGCCTGTTACTGAGTATGATCTTCTAACAGGTACACAATTAACTCATAGGTAGACAACACAATGGCAGTATTTGGGATCTGCCGGATGAGCTGGGCAAAGAGTCCTCTATAAAAAGCGAGGTAACCTTCTTCCCGGAACACCAGGCGCGCTGTCTGGATGAAAGACTTGTACTTGGTGCCCTCCTCACGGAGCCGTGTCCTTATGACTTCTGCAGAGAGAGAGAAATACCACTTTTACACTTCAAATAAAATGGGGAAAGAATCCAAAGCACACGACTCTATAATTGTCAATGTCAAACTATGTCTGCCATCTTAGGTCTACATGGACAAGATAGTCACATACCTAGACAGGCAAAGAAAAGTTCTTTTAGAACGTTTTCTAACTCTGGGAATTGGTCAATTAGGGATATTTACACATACACACAAAAATATAAAATAACTTTTAAGGGGTTAAAAAAAAGATTGAGTGGAACTTAATTTTAAAATAATTCATGGTTTTCTACTCCTAATCAAACAAACATTAATTTCACTGATTTCATTAATTTCTCCTCTTCCCTTTTCAAGCCTTTGCCCTTCTCCCTGCCACAGGAACCCACAGCTGGACATCTGTCACTCCTGCCTGTCACACAGACCTCAGGCCCCACCCCAGATGGCATCACCAACCTCTTCTCCATAGGCCTTTTGGGGCTAGCTTGGTGCCCCAGCACACAATGGGGACTCAATACTGTTACTGAGTCGACCACGTGCATTTGTCACAGCTAACTGTGCAGGAGGCTTCTGAAAACAAAACCTGTTTTTCATGCCACAATAAATTAAGCATTTTTTATGAAGTAGGCCAGTAGGATAACTCTATAATTCTTTAAAAATAAACTTACCCAAAGTAGCCTTACTCAGCACCTCATTCAAAGTAGAAGCCATGTGTTTAAGTTTGGCTCCTACATAATTTTTTTGAATCAAAGAATTTTAAATAAAATGCAGATTTTTGGCTTCTTTAAAAATATAAGAAGTTCAGCAACACAGGGCCTGCATTTCTGCACAGCAAGTTTGGGCCATGATCAGTTAGCACTGAGTAAGGTTCCCACTACTCACATGACCCACATCCACTCGGTGAAA